ATAGCAATTCCGCATCTTTAAACATACCCATTATTTCACAATATATTGCAAAATAATGGACACACTATTCCAGCATCCCTGAAAACCTTGTTCCATGAGAGTTAAGGGCTACGTCTACACTGGCCCCTTTTCCGGAAGGGGCATGTAAATTTCATGAGTCGTCGTAGGGAAATCCGCGGGGGATTTAAATATCCCCCACGGCATTTAAATAAAAATGTCCGCCGCTTTTTTCCGGCTTTTAAAAAAGCCGGAAAAGAGCGTCTAGACTGGCCCCGATCCTCCGGAAAAAGTGCCCTTTTCCGGAGGCTCTTATTCCTACTTCAAAGTACTTCAAAGTAGGAATAAGAGCCTCCGGAAAAGGGCACTTTTTCCGGAGGATCGGGGCCAGTCTAGACGTTCTTTTCCGGCTTTTTTAAAAGCCGGAAAAAAGCGGCGGACATTTTTATTTAAATGCCGCGGGGGATATTTAAATCCCCCGCGGATTTCCCTACGACGACTTATGAAATTTACATGCCCCTTCCGGAAAAGGGGCCAGTGTAGACGTAGCCAAGATGTTTGTTGGAATAGTACTTCATTTTGAAATTTGGTACTGTGAAGACAGCGCCAAATTTTGAAACATGCTATTTCATAATAACCTTGAAATAAGTTATGCAATTTGCAGAGTGCAAGTTGCATAGCTTATTTCTAGGTAAAGCTGCTGTGTAGATGCACCCAAAGTGGCGTGGGACTCTGTCATTCTCTGAGGGTACATCTACACAGCAGGGCTAGTCGAATTAAGCTACGCAACTTCAGCTACGTCAATTGCATAGCTTAAGTTGAAATCGCTTAATTCAGCTTTTGGCGCTCTCTATACAGCAGGAAGTCGAAGGAAGAGCATTCTTCCTTCGACTTCCCTTACTCCTCAGGAAATAAGGGCTACCGTGAGTTGGAGTAAGAAGTCCTCCAACTCAACACTATTTCGAAATGAAGGCATGCAGTGTAGACACACACTATGGTATTTAGGAATAACATCAGTTATTCCAAAATAATGCTGCTGTGTAGACATACCCTGAGAGGGCCTGTCTGCATCAACTGCATTTAATAATCTCAAACTCCCTCCTTAGTTTGACTACTTATAGCCTCAAAGGCTTTTTAAAATGTAACTAACAGACTTTTCATTGGTTGTGTTCTCTACATACCCTGATATTTACATGCCAAACTTCCTTGTCCTCCACTCCTCATTGTTTTTGCAGATACAGACTAACACAACTATCCCTCTATTTAGCAGAGTCTGGATAGAAAACTATACAGCTTCTTTGTTCTTCATGACACTGGCTGCAACCTGTCATATGTACAGTATTATATATTTTTTCAGCATTGATTTTGAGAGTTACAAACTGTGACAATCTGTAGAAAACACTGAATGAAAGGAAATGGATACAGCATAGGAAGTAAAGTCACCAACCATGATTAATCAATAGTTACATTTACCAAATATGATGAACACTGTCATGCTGAAGTAAGCCACTTGCATAAAGCCATCGTAAATACTAATAAAAAGTGTCTTGTAGCTTGAATATTTCACAGAAGCAAGTGCATGCCTGATTATCACAATTCCTGTCATATGGATTACATGTCATTATGGTTACATAGAAATTATACCACATGTTTTATTTCCTTATTGACTGGTTTCTGTAAACTTATCCAGACTACATAAATGTCACATATCGCAACACAATATAAAAGTCACACTGGGCTGGTTAGTTTCTTATGTAAGTTACAATTAAATGAGTTACAGCTACATAAACTGCAGATGTTAGTTACAGAACTTGTAGTATAATCAGCATCATGTGATCATTATAGTTTTTCAGTCTTTCGCTCATAAAAGATTAAATTTACAGAGGGACAGAACTAGGCTTATCCATCACTTAAGCCCTCAAAATAGGGTAAGCACAGTAAATTTCATCCAGGATATTCAAGAATAATTATGAATAACAAATACATTATCATTTGTCAAGCTCTAAAGTAGACTAAGGACCAAATTCTAACTACAATATGGTTTCAATGTCTGTAATTGGAAGCAGAATTTGGCCCTAAAATTTGCCTCCGTACAAAGAACTCTTCTTATGTGAAATGGCGCCACTGAAGTCAAAGGCAAAACTCCCATCTCTCATTAGTATCACTTTTCTGTTGGCAAGAGACCTATTTCCCTGCACTTACCCGCTCTGTTTGTATGAAAGAATGAGAAAATGGCTCAAGACTTCCAATGAGAAAGTTCGGGAATGTTATCTTTCACATTTCACCCTCAGCTAGTGCCCTTTGTAACGTTATTTCTACTTCTAATCGAAAACATTTCCCTATTTTTGACAGAAAACTGGGTTTTCATCTAAATGAAATGTTTTCATTGAAAATGTCTGCTTTCCATGGAAAACTTTTGAGTGTTCATTGAAAACTGAAAACTATTTGGCAGAAAACCAATGTATTTTTTTCAATTCAAAATTGAAATTATCCCCAGGGCAAGAATGGGAGGGGAACACTTTCTGACTAGCTCTAATAATTTATCTAAATTTAAACTAAAATCTAAGGCCAGGTCTACATTACAGATCTATATTGATATACTGACCTCCATGTTGCCCATGGCTATGACTACTCTGAATGGTGTAGTTCTACCCAGCTTCGCCTGTAGATGTAGCTGCTGCGTCTCCCAGAGGTGGAGTAACATGCCTCCAGGAGAAGCTCTGCCATTAGTGTAGGAGTGTCTTCATATGCAACTGCTTCAATGCAGCATTTGAAGCGTAAACCTGTCCTAAATCTAACAGTTGGGGAGATGATAAAAGGAATGTCTATAAACATATGACAAGGGACTAAGGCCTGGCCTCACTAGAAAATTAGGTTGATTTAACTGCCTTGGTCAGGAGTGTGAAATATCCACACCCTTCTGTCAACGTAGCTACCGCTCTCAGGGAGAGGGATAGGTAACGCTGACAGCAGCTCTTGTTAGCACAGGTAGTGTCAACACAGCAGTAGCACAGCTGTGCAACTGTAGCATTTCAAGTGTAGACAAGCCTGGATCATTAGGGCAATATTGGAAGAGTAACAGAACAGAGCAGCCGCTGCCGGAGCAGTGTGTCTCTGTGTGTTCCAAACATGCCATTGCTTTACCCTATGTGTTCTTAAACTGTAAGCTCCCTGGGGCAGGGACTTTATATTCTGTAGGGGAGCTAAATTGCTTCAGCAGTTACTTGGCAGAGTAGAGGAGTAAAAAGAAATAAAGCCTCCCTTACTCGGACCTGCTTAGATTGTGACGATAGCACAGGGCGGAGAGAAAGGGTGCTTGACCAGTGTCTCCCAGTGCTAACCAGGGGGCAGGGAGGGGTAAGAAGTGAAAGCTGCATTGACTTCATGCCCCACTTGCCACCCAGAATGGCTGATCAGGCACACACTAGGGTACAACAGCTCTACAGAAAGGGGTAAAGTAATTTACTCCCTCTGCAGTGCAAAAGGGGAGCAGGGACGGAGTTGTGACCAATTTGTAGTCTGATCTGCTCCTAGGGCAGCATAGCTGTGCATTTCCCCTTATTCAGGACAGATGTAAAGTTACAGTCTAGCTCTGTTCTCTGATGATCCTCCATAAATATTCATCATAAATATAACATTGTATAGAAACCTGTAAAGCTGACTAGAGAAGGAAAGGTCTCTGGCATGAGGATTTTACAATCTAATCTAACATATTTTACAGTGTGCTAGTATGATTGGTGCTGACTTCTCTAATTTATTCTACCTCATAGCTACATTCTAGGAAGCATAAGGAGACAAGTAAAAACGGACACTAACAATTACTGTCCCACTGTATTTAGTGGAAGGAAAAAGCATTGTAGGCTTCTATTTCTTTATATCTCAGAGCCTCCCAGGCAAAAATCCAAGCGGTGGGGAAATGTAACTTCATCTAAATATCTCACAGTCTGAAATAAGCGCCTTTTAAAATAACCTCAGATGTAACTGGTAATGCTGAAAGGAAAAATAACAGCAGCAGCATCCAACTCCAAGAGCAACTTAGCCACGAGCACCACCCCCCTTTTGGTGGGAGGGGGGAACCAAGCCGGTTTGTATGTCTAGATTTTTAGTCAGGTGGGGCCACTCTTGGAAGCTGTCCTGCCTGCAAAGAATCGGCTCCATTCACCACTGTTCTTTTTCAGAGCTTTACTGTTCACATTCCCTTAGAAGATCTCAGAGTTGTAAAATAAACACTTTCAAGATTGTTTTCTTAAAGAACTGGTCCAACATTACCCTAAAAAAAGCACTCACTTTCCAGAGCCCTCTGCTCAAAACTGTTGCATTTAACCTGAAACACATCTTCAGTTTTCACTTCTTCAGCTTGCTCATTATTTTTGTTAGCTTAAGGGCTGATATTTTCCATCAAGTTCCCTCAAATAGCTGTGTTGACCTCATAAACTCAGCATCTCTGGCATCACTCCATTGTGAGATATTTATTTATGTATTTAAGATCTGTGTTCAGACAGATAGGGACAGTGGATTGCAGGAACTTCGTCAGCAGGGGAGATGTGGTGGCAGCAGCTTGAGCAATGCCATAGGCGCATTCCCTGTGAAAGCATCACCCTAAATTAGCAATTATGAGCTACCTGAAAGAGGTCATGCAATACCACACGGCTGTTAGATTAGAATTCAGGATCCCAGGAATTTCTAGACTGAGGAAACAGAGTGAATAACAGCCACTAACCACCTTATTAAAATCTAGAGACAAGAAGAAACAAGAGGAAAAAGAGGAGTTTTGGCATAATTAGTCAAAAAATGTCAGCAAATCTGTAAAGAAAACAGCAGCCCAATGGACCTTGGAATTCACACATCATAAATCACATGCTTTTATCCTGCCAATCAGAATGCAATCATGCTCAGCCTGTGAAAGTTGCTTTTTAAAGGACAAATTCAATATTAAAATATTTAAAACAAGTCGTTGCTTTTTAAAAAGTAAAATATATTCTAATCTTAACATAAGTTATTACTTTGTCTGTGACTGTAGTTTTGTTTCTCTTGGCTGCTCAAAAGCCAGCTGGCATCAGCTTAGTTTGATTTTGCACTTTTCATTAAGCTATCCTGTAGTCAGAAATTGCCATATTGGGAGCATTCAGTCAAGAATCCTGTCACCAACAAACCAAAAAAGTTAATTTTCATTTAAGGTTGCAAATTAACGTTAAAGCTAACATGAATTACATTTTTAAAAAAACCTAAGCATTCAAAAGTATAGAAATTCATTGAGCCTCTGACACTTTTATATACTGAATCATACGCATTTCGTCTACCCCTACAAATCACCACCTGCCTTCCTTTTACCCTCTTCGAGCCATCCATTTTGGGCAAGA